CTGAGGCACAGAGACACAGCCATGTCCCCTTGCAGTGGCCCTGCCTGGGGCATTCCAGCCTGGGAATGCTGCAGGAGGATCTGGCTCGCCCCGTGCTGCTCCTACAAACCCATCCCTCTCCTCTCACAGCACTCCCAGACTTGCATGAACTTTGTTTTTTAGGATTTTAAGTGTTTCCTGTGCCTGATGACCTCCACAGGGACACACTGGGTGACACCAGCATCCAGGCTCTGCTCCTTCCCTGCCTACCAAGCCCCCAAATCCCCTTTCTCTTCACTTTTGGGGATCTCCTGCATCCAGGGCCTGGCTCATTCCCCCAGGAATGGCAGAGTCTCCTTCACCCCTCATCTCTGTGTCGCTTTCCTCCCCCATCAGGATCATCCCAGGATGTTTTCCTCCTTCTCCCTTATTGCAAAACCCACAGCCAGCAATTCTTTCCTCCTCAAAGCAGATAAATAAACCCTGGAAAAGCAGGCTGGCTGTGTCCCCACTCTGCCCCTCAGGTCACTCAGCTCATCCCAGGGACGGGAATTTGGGGAGCAACCTCTGGATTGCACTCCAGCCTGGAGCCCATCTCCCAAGAAAACAAACAAACTTTTGGAATCCTTTTTGTTTTCATCCTGTGCTGGGGCTGGGGAGGATGTTTGGAGTCCCTGGATGATGTCAATCCATGATGTCAGGGTCCAGCCGTGGCTGTCCAGCCTGAGATCTCCCCTTTCTCACGGAGCGCCCCAGGGAGCCCGGCCTGGCGCAGGAGCTTTTCCCACGCCCAAAACATTCCCCCAAAATCCAGCTGCAGGCTGGGCTCATGGCATCCTGCAGGACACTGGCACCAGCACTGCAGCTGGAGCCCTACCTGGAACAGGAGCCTGGGCACCAGGATGGGAATGTCCCCATGCCAGGGGCCCTGGTGGAGGATGTCACCTGGCATCAGGATGGGAATGTCCCCATGCCAGGATCCTTGGGGATGTCACCTGAGGATCAGGATGGGAATGTCCCCATCACAAGAGCCCTGGGGATGTCACCTGGCATCAGGATGGGAATGTCCCCATGCCAGGAGCCCTGGTTGAGGATGTCACCTGGCATCAGGATGGGAATGTCCCCATGCCAGGGGCCCTGGTGGAGGATGTCACCTGGCACAAATATCACCATGCCAGAGGCCCTGGTGGAGATGTCATCTGGCACAAATATCACCATGCCAGAGGCCCTGGTGGAGGATGTCACCTGGCACCAGGATGGGAATGTCTTCATCCCAGGAGACCCGAGGGAATGTCATCTGGCACAAATGTCACCATCCCAGGAGCCCTGGTGGAGGATGTCACCTGGAATCAGGATGGGAATGTCCCCCTGCCAGGGGCCCTGGTGGAGGATGTCACCTGGAAGGACCTGAGCATCAGGATGGGAATGTCCCCATCCCAGGATCCTTGGGGGGATGTTACCTGGCACAAATGTCCCCATCCCAGGAGCCCTGAGGGAATGTCATCTGGAATCAGGATGGGAATGTCACCATACAAGGAGCCCTGAGGGAATGTCACCTGGCACAAATGTCCTCATCCCAGGAGCCCCAGGGATGTCATCTGGCACAAATGTCCTCATCCCAGGAGCCCTGGGGGGATGTTGGGCCTGAGGATCAGGACGGGAATGTCCCCATCACAAGAGCCCTGGGGATGTCACCTGGCATCAGGATGGGAATGTCCCCATGCCAGGAACCCTGGTGGAGGATGTCACCTGGCATCAGGATGGGAATGTCCTCATCCCAGGAGCCCCAGGGATGTCACCTGGCACAAATGTCCCCCATCCCAGGAGCCCTGGGGGGATGTTGGGCCTGAAGATCAGGACGGAAATGTCCCCATCACAAGAGCCCTGGGGATTTCACCTGGAATCAGGATGGGAATGTCCCCATGCCAGGAGCCCTGGGGAGATGTCACCTGAGGATCAGGATGGGAATGTCCCCATGCCAGGAGCCCTGAGGGAATGTCATCTGGCACAAATGTCCCCCATCCCAGGAGCCCAGGGGGGATGTTGGGCTTGGGCATCAGGATGGGAATGTCCCCATCCCAGGAGCCCTGGGGATGTCACCTGGCACAAATGTCCTCATCCCAGGAGCTGTGGGGGGATGTTGGGCCTGAGGATCAGGATGGGAATGTCCCCATCCCAGGAGCCCTGGGGAGATGTCACCTGGAATCAGGATGGGAATGTCCCCATCCCATGAGCCCTGGGGAGATGTCACCTGGAATCAGGATGGGCATGTCCCCATGCCAGGATCCTTGGGGAGATGTCACCTGGCACAAATGTCCTCATCCCAGGAGCTGTGGGGGGATGTTGGGCCTGAGGATCAGGATGGGAATATCCCCATCCCAGGAGTCCTGGGGGAATGTCACCTGGCACAAATGTCCCCATCCCAGGATCCTTGGGGGAATGTCACCTGGGACAAATGTCCCCATCCCAGGAGCCCTGGGGATGTCACCTGGCACAAATGTCCTCATCCCAGGAGCTGTGGGGGCCTGAGCATCAGGATGGGAATGTCCTCACCCCAGGAGGCCTGGGGAGCTGTCACCTGGCACAGGCACACGGATTCCAGAGCTCCTACCTCACCCTGCCCGCCCTGCAGGGCTTCCTTGGCACCCTGGAACGTCAGTGGGCGATGCCAAGGCCTGGCACCGGCGCAGCCGTGAGGGTGGGGGACACCAGGAGCTGCCAGGAGCATTCCTGGATCCCATCCTCAGCTCGTCCATGCCCAGAACCTGCACACAAGGAGCAGCCCCGGGTGTTCCCAGCACCTTTTCCCCACAGAACCAGGACTGGTGACCCCGGGAGGTGCCCGTGCAGTGAGAGCCTGGCACTGGGTTGTGCCCTGTGGCCACTGTCACACAGCCCAGGGGGGCTGCAGGGTGGCAGCTCCTCCTCCCAGGGATGGGACCCCTCACTCCCATCATCTGCAGGGGGGTTTCACTCTGATTTCCCCTGCCAGGACCCCCGAGGTCCCCGCTGTGCCGCAAACCTCCGGAAATGGGAATTATTGCACAAGGACCTGGCCCTGCCAACTTTCTGTCACCTCCTCCATCTGCTCCAGCCTTGGGGGGGTCTGGGGGTCAGGGAGGGTGTGGGAGGGGACGCCCTGGAGCTGCAGGAGGCCCTGGATGGGTGCCCCAGGTCCCAGCTGGCTGCAGGAGCAGCTGCCCTGGTGCCAGGGGGGAAAGGGGCTGGGGGCAGTGTGGGGCAGTGGGGCTGGTGGTCCTCACTTGGGGGGCTGGGCTCCCATTGCTGGGATGGGATGGGCTGCTCTGTGTTCCTCATCTCAGCCTCCAGTTCGGTGTCCTGATCCCAATAACTCCTGGTCCTAATAATGCCAGAATCCCATCCTAATAAAGCCTGATCCTAATAAAATCGTGGTCCTGATCCTTATTATAAAATTATAACTCCTGATTCTTATAGAAACAGCATCTCAGTCCTGATAGTGTCTGATCCCAATACACCCGATCCCAATGGCACCGATATCCCAGTCCCAACAACTCCTGATCCTAACAACACCAACATCCTGATCCCAATAATTCCTGACTTTAACAGTGCCAGCATTCCTGTCCTGATAACACCTGAGCTGAATAATGCCTGATCCCAACACCAGCTACCTCATCCTAAAACCCCAATAAATCCCAATTATTATAGTGCCTGATCCTAACAACACCAACATCCTGATCCCAATAATTCCTGATCCAAACAGTGCCAGCATTCCTGTCCTAATAACACCCGATCTGAATAATGCCTGATCCCATCCTAATAAAGCCTGATCCTAATAAAATCCTGTTCATTATAACTTCTGATCCTGAACCAGCATCTCAGTCCTAATAGTGTCTGATCCCAATAACACCAGTATCCCAGTCCCAACAACTCCTGATCCTAATAACACCAACATCCTGATCCCAATAATTCCTGATCCAAACAGTGCCAGCATTCCTGTCCTAATAACAGGAATGTTATTAGGAGCCTAATAATGCCTGATCCCAACACCAGCTCCCTCATCCTAAAACCCCAATAAATCCCAATTCTTATAGTGCCTGATCCTAACAACACCAACATCCCGATTCCAATAATTCCTGATCCTAACAGTGCAAGCATTCCTGTCCTAATAACACCTGAGCTGAATATTGCCTGATCCCAACACCAGCTACCTCATCCTAAAACCCCAATAACTCCCAATTCTTATAATGCCTGATCCTGATAACTCCTGATCCTAACAACACCAACATCCTGATCCCAATAATTCCCGACCCTAACAGTGCCAGCATTCCTGTCCTAACAACACCTGAGCTGAATAATGACCCCAGCACCAGCTCCCTCATCTTAAAAACCCCAATAATTCCCAATTCTTCCAATGCCTGATGCTGACGGCTCCTGATCCCAGCGGCCTGTCCTAAATCACCCGGTGCTAACGATCCCTGTCCTCGGGCAGCGTCTGGTGGCCGCTGCTTTCGGCACAGGCTGTCTCCAGGAATAGCTCCCAGACCTGATTCTGGTTCCTTTATTCCAGCCCGGCACAGCACAAACCCATTTTTCCCCCCGGGGTCAGCTCAGGTCAGGCAGCCACGCGGGGGCAGCGACAGAAATTCCCCCAAAATCCAAGCCCGGAGCCCCTCAAGGCGTTTTTAAGGCAGGGGGAAGGCGGGAGCTGGCGGGGAGCGAAGAACTGGAACGGAGAATTGTGTTTTTCTTTAAATGTCATGTTGTTTTAAGCTCATTTTTGCACTCGGGTTTGGCGAAGCTGAGAAGACTTAAGTGACAAACCGGCTGTCCCCCGGCCCAGCGCAGACACCCCCGCCCCGCCCCCGGCCCAGCGCCGACCCCCGGCCCCCTCCTCACCCCCCGCACCCCAAAATTCGGGTGGGCACGGCGGGGGCGGCCCCGATGCTCCCAGCGGGGCTGTGCCCGTCGGGGGCGCTGCCAGGCGAAGCTGGCGCTGTGGGGGCGCTGCAGGGTGGGCGGGGGTCCCGCAGCCCCCCCTGCTAAGCCCAGTACACCGGGAGGAGGCGGCACAGGATGCCCGCCGTGGTGCCCAGCAGGGAGCGGTCAGCCAGGGGCACCGAGATCTTGTCTTCAGCCTGGGCAAGGGGGGGACAAGGCACATCCTTCATCATCATCTTCATCATTCCTCCCCTCAGGGAGGGGCTGCACAAGGCACTGAGCCCCCCAGCTCCCCCAGACCCAGCCAGGTCCTCACCTGCCGGCGCTGGAAGGTCTCGACCACGCTGTCCAGCCCCGGGATGTTGTCCTTGTCCACTCGGGTCACGTAGCAGGCGCGGTGCAGCCGGGCTCTGTAGCTCACCAGCAGCTGTTGGAAGCCAAACCGGGCTCAGCCTCATCCCATTTCCCCCTGCCCGTGTCCCCAGAGCCCCCCACTCACATTCCTGTAGTCATAGATGACCGTGGCCGCGTTGCCGTCCCCGCTGTCCAGGTAGAAAGTGGCCGCGTCCTCTTCCCACAAACGGCCCCGCAGCACCTGAGGGGATCCAGGGGCATCTCAGAGCCTGCAGCAGCCCCTTCCCCTGGCATGGGGATGCTGCTGATGGCACTGGGGGTGGCACTCACGGTGTCGGCGTGGCGCTGCTCCACGCTCAGCCCCATCAGCAGCGCGCCGGCGATGATGACCACGAGCAGGACCAGCAGCACCACCACGATGAGCAGGCAGCGCAGGCGGCCGCAGCTCAGCAGCTTGCGGGGCAGGTAGCACAGCAGCCGAGGGACGAAACACAGCGACTTCTTGAGGCAGCCGGAGCAGCTGGCGCAGCCGGGACACTTGGGACACTTGGGACACTTGGGGCACTGGCAGCACTTGGGCAGGCAGCAGCATTTGGCGCAGCACAAGCTGCATTTGGTGCAGCATTTGGCGCAGCACCAGCTGCATTTGGTGCAGCATTTGGCGCAGCACGTGGCGCAGGGCAAGCAGCAGCCTGGGCAGCAGCAGCCGTTCCCCGAGTCCTGGGGGTGCAGGAAAATGGGGGATTTGGGGTCAGCTGGGGGATGCAGGAGGTTGAGGGTGGGATTGCAGCTCTGATCCCGCTGCCCCTGGGCGCTGGGAATGCAGCACCCCACGGTCCACACCTCACCCTGGGCACTGGTGCCTTGCTGGGATAGCCTGGGCAAAGCCCTGTGCCCAGCTGGCTGCAGGGACACCCTGGGGTGGCAGTGCCACCCTGCAGGGACTCACCTCCTCTTCAAGCACCACTTGCTTCATGCTGCTCTCCATGGCTGCTGCCTCCTCCTCCTCCTCCTCCTCCTCTTCTTCCTCCCATTCCCAGCCCAGTCTGACTGCAGGGACTGGGAACTTTATACTGGGGCACTGGGGTGGGGACCCTGTGGAGGGTTTGGTGGCCCTGGGGTGCAGCCAGGCCCTGGCATGTGACCACTCCACCGGTGTTTGCTGAGCGCCCACTCCCAGCTGCATCCCCCTGGGAACCTGCAGCTCAAGAGGCTCCGAGGGCACTGGGTCAAGGACCCTTGTCCCCAGGCATGGGGACTTCTCTGCTGCCCAGGAGCGAGATGGCAGGGCCAAAACAAACCCTCCAGGGTGGAGCATCCGGCCGTGGCTGTGCCCAGGGTGGGAGCTGGCTCGTGTCCCTTTGCCAGCTCGGGCACCTGCAGCTGCTTGATGTGGCAAGGAGCAAACAGGACGTGAAATATTTCCTGTAATCCACAGGGATGGGGTGGGAGCGGGGTCACTGTGGCGTGGGGAGTGTCCCTGACCCTCATTCCTGCTCCTGAGGCTGCTCAGGCACTGCTGGTGGCTGTTGGGGCTGCCAGAGGTGCCCACAGTGGGGATTTTTTTGGGGTTAGGGGGTCCCAGCTCCGCCATGTCCCCCTCAGGTGGCAGGGGGACACTGCTGGGCCTTGGTTCTGCCCATCCACGAGCCCCTCCTGCAACTGGGACCCCTCCAGCCCCCCCTGAGACCCCCAACACCCCCAATAATGATGGGGGGGTGAACACTGCCTCTTTTCCCAGGGTGTCAAGGGCCACAAGAGTCCCTTGAGTGGCTCCTGGCTGTTTGTTCTGTCCCCATGGGAGCCCTTATCACCTTTCCTGGCCCATGGCACCCCCTTGACCCAGCTCCTTATCACGGTCAGGGTTTTTTGGGAAGCAGAGCTGCTGGCTCTGAGTCAGCACATGCAGTGTCCCTCCTGTTCCCCGTCACCCCCCAGAGCTCTGACCCTGCTCTCTGCCTGTGCTGATGATTTTGGGGACAACACCAAGTTTGCAGCTCTGGAAAGATCAAATCAACTTCCAGGGGTCTCTTTTTCCCCTCCCAGCCTCGCTGCTCCTCTGTTTTTCAGTGCAGGACTTGTGAGTGGCCCCAAAGGCTGCTCCCAGCTGGTGAAGGGGCAAGAGGGGCTGGAATGGGTGGGAAAAGGGAGAGGATGAGGAGGAGCTGGAGCTGGAGCAAGTGGATCGTGGTGTCTGTGGGTAACTCTTGGTTCCCACTGGGGACATGGCACTGTCCCTCTGTCCCCAGCTGCACCAGGAGGGGACAGGGCTGGGAGCTGTGCCTGAAGGGCTGGAAGGGCAGGGGCTGCTCCTCTGTCCTCACCCTCCATCCCCCAGACTGAGGGGGCACAGCTGGGGACAATGGGAGGGCACAGGAGGGGACACTGGGGGGACACAGTTGGGGACAATGAGAGGGCACAGTTGGGGACAATGAGAGGGCACAGCTGGGGACAATGAGAGGGCACAGGTGGGGCAATGAGAGGGCACAGGAGGGGACACTGGGGGGACACAGGTGGGGACATTGGGAGGGCACAGGTAGGGACAATGAGAGGACGGAGTTGGGGACAATGAGAGGACACAGTTGGGAACATTGGGAGGGCACAGTTGGGGACACTGGGGGAACACAGCTGGGGACACTGAGAGGGCATAGGTGGGGACAATGGGAGGGCCCAGCTGGGGACAATGGGAGGACATAGGAGGGGACACTGGGGGAACACAGGTGGGGACATTGGGAGGGCACAGGTGGGGACACTGGGGGGACACAGTTGGGGACAATGGGAGGGCACAGGTGGGGACAATGAGAGGATGGAGTCGGGGACAATGAGAGGACACAGCTGGGGACATTGCGGGGACACAGCTGGGGACACTGGGAGGGCCCAGGTGGGGACACTGGGGGGACACAGCTGGGGACATTGGGAGGGCACAGCTGGGGACATTGGGAGGGCCCAGCTGGGGACATTGGGAGGGCCCAGCTGGGGACAATGGGAGGGCACAGCTGGGGACATTGGGAGGGCCCAGCTGGGGACAATGGGACCGTCGTGTGCCGTTGTGCTGCTGCCCCCCGGTGTTTGATCCCTCCCAACACGAGGGATTCCCTTCCCCACCCTGCACCCCACAAGGGGACACCCCTGGGACACCTTGTCCCTGTCCCCAGCACCCAGGAAGGGCAAGAGCACACTTGGAGGCGGGGACACAGGCTTTACTTTGTAGACAGAAGCAAATCCCGAAGCAAATCCCGCTTTTTTAATGGCGAGAGCAGCGGGAAAGCCGCGGTGCCGAGCGACAGTGGGCGGGGTGGCTGTCCCCGGGGTGGGGATGAGGAGGAGGAGGAGAGATTCCCGCCTGGAAGGGGACAGTGGGGGACAGTGCCACCCCCATGTCGCTGTCCCATCCCGCTGGGAGCTGCTGCTACACCCAGAACACGGGGACGGCGCTGCAGAGGATGTTGATGGTGGTGCCCAGGATGGAGCGGTCAGCCAGGGGCATGGCCTTGTCCCCAACGTCCTCACCCTGCGGGACACAGAACGGAGCAGAGCAGCCACAGAGGGACAAAGCCCAGCCCCGCATTCCCCAGGCTGTGCTGAGCCTGGTGCGGCTCCACCCTCGTGGCAGCGGGGTTGTGAGACAGAGGAGAAATTCTCCAGAGTAGAAATCATCCAGAGCAGAAATCCATTTTGATTTAGGTGAAATCTATTAAGTAGAAATCCATTGATTTAGTAGTTGATTTAGTAGAAATCCATTTTGATTTAGGTGAAATCCATTTAGTAGAAATCCATTGATTTAGTAGTTGATTTAGTAGAAATCCATTTTGATTTAGGTGAAATGTACATCTTTGAGTCTGTGGTTGGAAAACATGGCTATGTAGCCTGACTGCAAAGCCTAGGCTCAGGGAAACTGCTTCAGTGAAGGACAGGGATAAGGGGGAGGAGACAAAAAGTGATAAAGAGAGACAGAGCCTGCTGTGAGAGCAGGTCAACCTGACCCAGGAATTCTTTCTGATAAAGAAGAACTAGCGGCAGATATCACGCGAAATTCATAAAAATGAATATGTATGAATCTGTTGTGACATTGTGTGCATATGTATGTGAGAGGGGGATAAAAAGAGACCTGAAGTTCCCAGAGGTCCCCTTGACTTTTAGGGAGAGTAATCTCCACATGCTGTAATAAACATACCGGCTTTACAACTTTCACGAAGTTGTACAGTTTTTAGTTATCTCCACCAAACAGTTGTCCCCTCACCTGCCGGCGCTGGAAGGTCTCGGTGACAGCGTCCAGCCCCGGGAAGTTGTCCTTGTCCACCCGGGTGATGTAGCAGGCGCGGTGACGCCAGGACCTGTAGCCGACCAGCAGCTGGTGGCAGACAGAGCCGGCTCAGCCGCACGGTGCTGCGGTGTCACGCAGGTCCCCATGTCCCCGTGTCCCCACGCACCTTGCTGTAGTCGTAGACCACCGCGGCCGAGCCGTTGAGCCCATCCCGCACCGCGAAGGTGCCGCTCCTCTCCCTCCTGCTCACGGCGAGCTTCTGGGGGCTCCCCTCGCCATCCAGCCCCTGGATGCTCATCCGCAGCACCTGCCGGGGGGAGAGGGCTCAGAGGGATCTGCGGGGGCTGAACCCGTCCCTACAAACCGCGGTGCCACCCCAGAGCCCCTCCCGGAGCCGGTGGCACCGCGGGCAGCGCCGCCCTCACCGTCTCGGCGTGGGACTCGCTGAGGTGCAGCCCCAGCAGCAGGAAGGTGACGTTGACCACCACGAGGGCCACCAGCACCAGCGCCACCATCAGCAGGAGGCTCTTGAGCTCGTGGGGGATGCAGGGCAGGCGCGGGGACTCCGTGTACCTCTGTGTGGGGACACACGGGAGCATCGGCTGAGCCAGCGCCGGGGGTGGCAGCGGGGGCTCGGGCCCACCTCGGCCAGGGCGGGTGCTGGGTGCTCCTTACCGGAGGTGCCTCCTCCATCAGCGCCTCTTTAGAGCTGTCCTCCATCTCTCCGTGTGCTCCTGTCCCTTTGCCAGCCCGGGCCCGGGGGATTTATAGGATCCCGGGTGGGCCGGGGAGGGCTGGGACCATTCCAGCTGCCGAGTGCCACTTGTGCTGTTTGCTGAGCCCGCAAAGAGCCAGGGAGGGGACAGAAAACCACCGAGGGCCCTTCCGCGGCGTTTGTCCGGCAGCGGTGCCAAGGCAAACAGCGGGCAGTGCCCACCCTCCCCACCCGGCCCGGGGCTGTGGCAGGAGGGGCCCAGCACGTCCCGGGGGCGGCTGCACCCCTGGCTCTGCACGGGCAGCTGTGCGAGCCCCCCCGGGGCGGGCAAGGAGCTGGCTGCACTCATTGTTCCCGAGGGCACCGTGCCAGGGACGGCGCAGATGGGCGCCTGGCATGGGAGAGATGGGTGCCAGGGACGGACGGGTGCCCGGCGCGGCGTGGGTGGGTGCCCGGTGTGCCCAGGGCTTGGAGCTGGGGGGGCAGCGCTGCAGCGCCGAGCTGGGGGAGCCGCTCCGGGGGGCGTCACCCCTGCCGTGTCCCCCCAAGTTCTGCGCACCCCAAGAGCAGCCGGGGCCGCCACCCCGGCGGGGAACCCCGAGTTTGGGACACGCGCGCACGGACACGCGTGCCCGGGGATGCTGGCGCTGTCACTCAGCCGCATCCTTCATCCCTCCCTCCTTCCCTCCCTCCTTCCCTCCGTCCCTCCCTCCCGCAGCAGCTCCCGGGCATGGTGTGCTGCAGAGCCGCGGGTCAGGCGCCCGCAGCCTCCGCCGCTTCTCCTCCACCCTGAGATCCCCGGGGGAATAAAAAAAAACAAGAGAGAGAAAAAAAACCGTTTTTCCACAGCTGCCGGACACAGAGGCGTTGGGAGCAGCTGCAGGGATCAAGCAGGGATCAGGCCAGGGCGTGATGGAGCTGCGGCGCGGCAGGAGGATGCCGAGGGAGCAGCTCCCCGCTCGCCTCCTCCTCCTCCTCCTCCTCGCCGTGGCCTGGCTCTGGCTGCCGG